TCCTAATGTAAAGGGTATACTGAGACGGCACTATAATATTCTAGAACAAAGCGAACGCCTTAAACGTGCGTTTCCGTCCACCCCCGGTGTGGTCTACAGACGATCACGTAACCAAAGAGACTCACTTGTAAACTCTCGACTAAATTTGTCATTGTCAAATGACGAATGCATGCCGTGCAAGAAACCGGGATGTCTGGTCTGCAAAGAAATGCAACATACTAGCAGAAATAGCAGCACACAATCGCAATTCTGCTTAAGAATTCGAGGGAACCGGACGTGTGACTCTTCAAATGTGGTTTATTTGCTTGAGTGCAGTGTCTGCAAAATGCAATATATAGGGCAAACGAAGAAAGCATTCAGGGAACGCTTTAATAATCACAAATCTCATTCAAAATCTCTCCCAAGCCTACCTCTTTCAAAACACCTTAGCCTCCGACATCATTCGTTCGGGTAACTTTCGGTAACGATCCTTGAAACCGGATTTAAGTCAGACCGCGAACGGGAGCAGCGGGAATCGTATCTCATATACCGATTTAACACGATCGATAAAGGAATAAATGAAAATCCAGGAACACCTTCAGCGATTAAAACGTTGTCTAAAAATTAACAGGGGGCACCATTCTCACCCTGACCAAGTGGCACTCTATTTACTGGTGGAATTGAACCATTATTTTGTGTGTGTGTGTGTGTGTGTGTGTGTGCGAAACAGTGAGCCTTCCATACGCGCTTCTGTGCACACTGCGTCCTTTTCCGTCGGTCTACCCACTCATATGCGAGATTCGCTAATATTCAATTTTCTTTTCATTGAAAGGCGGAGCAAATCTGCGCCTTCCGCGCAATGCTCTCCTGCTGCACACAACGTTACTCGGTCTTGACCTTAGGCATCCGTATTTATTTGTATTTATTTTAAGTTTTACTTTAATGTTTTAACTTTTGAATTTGTATTTTTAATTCTCTGTCCGGTACGACGACGGCTTTGCAACTATCCGGGGGCATTCGCTCCACCCTCCCTGCGCACCCCCTTCCCCGCGATCTGCTCCTTGCTCCCCTCTCCTCTCTCTTCCGCGGCGTGGGGCGCCCGAGGGGACGCGGGGAGACCGTCGCGGAGACGGACGCCCACATCGGCTTACGGACAATTACTACCGAAGATGTCGTTCCAGAGCCTGTGCCATCCGTTTATGACCTATTGTACGGACCTCAGTGTCGGAGATCTCATATACGCCTCTTTAGCTTTGAATCCCGCCGCCCTAACGTGGGAAAGCGCTCAAATATTATTTTATTTTTTTTTTTGCGTTTTATTTTGTTTTAATAGTTTGCTTTTTTTCATATGTCTTTCCACTCTTATTTTCGGTGACGTCACGTCCTCCTCGCCCCATTGGCCACCTACTGCTTTGCACAGTCAGATGCCCTCACATGTATGCCATGTCCTGACGAAGCCGAGCCTCTCGGCGAAACTGTCGAAATACATGCAATAAACTCCTAGCATATTAACTCCGCAAGTACTGATCTCTGACTTATTACATTTTCCCTGTCCATTGTTCTCAAGCTCCTCTGCCTCACCTATATATATATATATATATATATATATATATATATATATATACTGTTAAGAAGCAACACATGCTGGAAGAACACTAAATCTGATTCGCATGGTGCGATTTTACTTGCGACTTTGCTGTTGCGACATCACTTGTACAGCGAAATAATAACATAGGGGAAGCTGCAGTGCCCGACGTCACAGGTGTAAATTTGCAAGCAAACTCGCGCCATGTGAAGTCGGCTAATGTGAGATCTGACCACACGCCTCCAGAAACGAGCGTCATCGACTCTGGAGACAGTGAAATTCTTTGTGAGATAATAGCAATGAGGGTGCGCTCACATGACTTGTTCTCCTGGGATTTTTGTGAAGAAGGCATAGCGAATTTTCCTCTTTGTTCTTGTCATGTAAAGGCCCATGACACTAGTTTTTTTCCATGTCGGATTTGCACTCACAATGGACACAGTCAACTGCTAGGTGACCTTCTCGATAAAATCTCAGGGTAACAACTCTTGTGTGAGTCCACTCTCACTGTCATTATTTGAAAGATATTCCCTGTCTGTAGAGCCAGTGGTGCTGGTTTCTGACGGAGTGCGTTTTGACCTTAGTGTTCTGCCAGCAGATGTCAGCTCTTATCTGTAGATATATATATATTTCTTTTTTTTAAATAAACCATTCAGTTGAAAGTTATGCCGTGAGCTGCCCAGGTCTTCCTTCGTTTTGCCCGTGCTTTTTGGCATATTATTCAGTTATGAATAACCAACTAGCCAAACTTGTCATCTTAAGCTCCAAGACCATGCAGCATACATGCGAAGATATCTTTTGGTAGGCTTGCAATCACTTGGGCTCACTTCATGAACCCCGAGAGACAGTAAGCCTGCCAAAGGCATCTTTGTGCGCATGCTGAATGTATTTAAGTCAATTCGGGGTCGGTTGTTTCTTTTGGTTGCTCTAGTAGGACTCCTGCATTAAAAGTGCGATCCCGTTTTACATTGAAAGTTTCAAATAGATTTTCGCAAAAATAGAGTTAGCATTCATTGTATTTATTAATGCAATATAATCGAGTCAGACTAAAAGTTTTTCGGATCAGATTTGTTTTTTTTTTGTAAAGTTTTAATTACTAGGGAATTTCTTTTTTTTTTGGGGGGGGGGGTTATATTTTTGGGATTGTCAGTGGAAGTTGACACCAATTTATATTGTAACCTTACAGTTAGGTAACATTAATATCAAAAAAGTACTTTTATGCACTCATGAAAAGCAAATAGAAAGCATTGTCTTGATAGTGAAGTTCGGCTTATGGCTTGGTTTTACTATCAAGAGAAACGAAAAAAAAAAATCCCTTGCGGTAATTAAAAATCCGCTTTCAAACGATCTGAGCAACCTTCCGAAGTACCGCATGTTATATGTGTTGTTCAAATTTAGGCCCTCTAACTGGCTTTTATTTGGTATTTACTGACAGTAGTGTTTTACAAATAGAGGAAAATCATGCTTGTCACTGTCGAGTTCTGCAGTTACTGTGTTATGTATTCTTCTGCAGTATGGAAGACCCACTGAGAGCACCTGGCCTAGGCGGTGGCTGGTGGGCGTGCTGTGTGTGCTCTGGGAGATCCCAATCTACCCAAGGGGGAACTCACTCAAGGCTCGGCTAAAGCGCAAAGCACGTTTATCAATTTTCGGGTTTACGGTGGAGAGCAGTTCATCAGCATCACGTTACGGCCACTAATTCTAAAGTGGCTGTCCGAGAAATATTGTCCCAAGTCAAAGCAATTATTTTGACTTTTAAAATGCATGGTCCGTGCCATCCTTCTAATTAAAGAATGCGTTCTTTAAGACATTTTATATTTCAAATATGAGACTCGAGTGTAACATTCATCTTTGTAACTGTTTTGAAATTTTACACCAAAAACAACTGATAACAAAAACCGTGATGAGCGTGCTTGCTTCGGGCCTCCATAATCAGATCTCTGGGCGTGATGCCGATGAAGCACACTCCTAGGCTAAACCTAAACAAAAACTGTTAGCAAGTGCAGGACCAGTCGAGCCCCGAGTGAGCGTCCGTCCCTCGAGGCAGAACAGAATCTCACGGTGTGCACAGAGCGCTCCATGCAACCGCCGTCTCGGCCGCGCGCTTTCAGTAGGTGTTTTATATTGAAGGAAGCTGAAGCTACCAACAAGACCTTTTGGAAAGCCTTTCTGCTGTGTTATAATTCAATTGGGAGCATAATTTATATTTTGTGTAAACATAATTACAAAACATGCATCTCTGTTTATCCTGTTCTTTCTCCGGGTGCTGCTATCCAGCTACACATCACCGTCCATGATGTGGCCATGCGGTGAACCATCCACAATTGTTGTCATCTGTACACGGATCGGCAGAGCCCCTTCCTAGCTGTGAAGCACAGTTACAAGGCAGCACAGATACTCGGCCAGCAACCAGCTTCATAACTTGTAATGCCCGAGTCCCACTGAGTGACAACCAGAACCAAACGTCACGAACAAGCCTCCAGCCTATGGAGCATGCTCGCGATGCTACTCTTGGCAGGCGTTTACTCGTTCAGTGCTCGTGAAATAAGCACGAGTGATTTCAAGCCTATCAAAGATATCTTCGCGTGCATGATGCTCGTGTTTGAGCATAGCCTCCTTTATTCTAGGGACCCTGTCAAATCACGAAAGATAGGTTTGAAGCTTGTCGCTGACGTTTGTTTCTTTTTCTCGCTGTAGTGGGACTCGGTCACAAGCCCGTACCATGTATTAAACGTGAAATTAAAAAAAAAAAACACTGTATCAAATTTCACACGATTTTGCAGCTTCATTTGTATGCCGTTTGCCGAACACACAGTAAATGCAGCAGATCGCACATCTTTTCAACTTTTATTTCTATTGTTCAATTATTTTGAAAAAATAACCGAGCAGCTTTAATAATTCTGAGGAATAAAATCCGGAACAAAGTAGCAATATTTTTTTTCTGTTCACGGCACCGAAAATCGGAGATGCTGTTTGGCTATATGCTACAAAAACATTCTTTGAATTACGACAAAGGCCTCCTTGGCAGTAGTCTGTTATTTCTCCGTATAGCCAAAATTGAATTTCCAGAGAACTCCCACCCTGGCGCAAACTGCATTTACACCGTTTTGCCAAGCTCGACTGACCACTGAACTGCCAGCCTGGCCCAGGCTGGTTATATTCCGTACAGCCAAGCTTGGCTAAACAAGGAACTTTCACTGAACTGCCGGGCCGGCTAGCCAGGCTGGGGCAAGCTAGCTTCGTGTAGCAAAACGGTGCTTGGGTCCCGGAAACTTTCCCCGGCTGCCCAAGCAGGCTCAAGCTTGAAGCGATAAATTATGCTGCTTGAGCATTGCCAAACGGATCCTTTATTTTTGTATTTGTAAATGTATATATACTGGGCATCAGTATCTCTATATTAAACACAAGAACATCTCTTTTTTATCCATATTCTTCTTACCGTTTTGGAGGGCCGAGGAAATAAGCACTGTGGCAAAAGTTATGAGTAACATATTTGTATTTTGTTGAAAACCAGGATCGAGCAGCAGAGCCCTGAAAAGAAAATTATCATTACCCGTTATCGTTAAAGTACTATAATGCATGAAATGCAATATTTAAGCTCGGATAGTGCGAGCTCAACTAGTGGACACTGGACAGGTCTTTCAATGTTTGAAGACTTACGTTTTATGTTTTTTCGCGCCAAATCTATAGAGAAAATGACGTCACGTGATTTGACGTCATATGACTTCATGTCGTCACCTTGCATCATAATGTCAAGGTGTCACGCGACCTTACGTCAAACAACGTACGTGATGTCAATTTCTCGGCGAAGGTGTTGACGTCACGGCGTGAAGCCGTGGTTTAACGCGATAGCATTAAGTCGGGTCACATGATTTTCCCAGTAAAATATGAAGGGGGAAATGCATGGACGGATGGACGCACGGTCGAGGTTCTAGGAATAGGCGTTAAAACATTCCCATAAACGCCGAAAAAGAGATATCAACTAAGGTTACAAATAATAGACAGACATAGCATTTGTCTTTTTATACTTTGTCGAACAATTGTGCGCAGACGAGCTTCGTCACAACGATGACTTTGAGGTCATGCACTATGCTCTGTTAACCCTAGGTTGGCAGGGCGGTGGGAGCTACGTACTCGTTAGACGAATCAGTCGCCGATCACTTGCCACGTGATCAAGCTGCCGCTCCGTACCCCTCGTGGAGAGGTTTTATTACAGAGAGTTTCCAACTGCCCGTTCGGGGTGCCGTGGTTTTTGGGCCGCATTGGCAATACGAGCTGCGAGGAGGTCAGGAGCGTGTTGGTCGCATGGGAGTTGATAGGTTCGGCAAACCTGTAGGTTCTACCGACGTGGCAAGGTAATGCTGAACGGAGTATATAAACAGTGCAGCATTAGGGGCCCAGTGATTTATTTAAAAAAAAAGCGGCGCTGTGGAGAGCACACGCGCCTTCAGCTTGGGTGAGCCGGGAAGAACGGCACGACAAAAAGAGAATCTTCGTGTCGTATGCTTGAAATAATTGTTTCATACATTACTCCCATTATGCTAAATTCCGATTTGGCAGTACCCGTTAATTCGCACAATGTTGGATAGCTTTAGAAACTTCCGCCGCAATTATCCACTTGGCAGATCACCGACCACAGGTTGCGGTCGTCGGAAAAAACCACGAAACCAACACCCATGGCGATGAGAATTAACCACGGCTATGAAAATTAACCAGAACAGTTCCGCGATGGGTGACCCTTTTCAAGCATTTGACGATTTCGAGGACGGCGGCCCTACGCCCTTCTATAACAATCGCAGCGACAATGAAAACAACAGTTATTTCCACCTGTGAGAAGATAATATAATCCTTGCTTCAACGAAAGGTTTTTTTATCGTTATTGGGCTCAACAGGGAGTTAATAAATGCCATGACTTTTTATTCACCAACTGACGCGGCAGAAGTTCACGCGGCGCCAAAAGGTTGGTCCGAATTTATCCCCCCTGTAAGAGGGCTCAGGTACGATGGCGAATTTGAAACTGTTTGCCCCTATTATTTGTTAGCCAATATGAGGTGCGTACAGGTGATTACAAATATACTATTCTTCGCACCTTACACTATTTTTACACATTCCCGTCCTCACACCGGTCCAGACATTTGTCCCACTGCAGCATTAAATTTGAGATGCGCCTGTTGTCGAATTCGTCCGGCTGAATGGGGAACCATCGTCGGACTGCTGTCTAGGCTTCATCGTTGCACGTGCACCGCTGTCCTGCCAGGAACTCCTTCAACGGACCGAAAATGTGTAAATCACTAGGGGCGAAGCACAAACTGCATATAGATATGTTCAGTTCGCATTTACGGTCCTAATTTGGCTAGAGAAGAATAGGAGCAAAGACTTTCTGATTCGCCTTCGTCGTAGAGGTGCAATCGAACTCGAGAAGCTCACGCTTGTGTTCACAATTGTTCATGGATTATACAGCTACGCTCATATCGTAGGAACTGTGATATTTAACGGTAAAGCCACAACTTCGGTCTAAGTCTTAGTATGACAGGTCTTGAATAATAGAGTTTAAAGAAACGCTGATAAATCTCCCCTCCGCCCCTCTCCCCCCCCCCCCCACACACACACACACAGACCTCGTTTTCCCTGTTTCCAAGAAAATTGATTATGGAAATTGATTATGGTGTCAAAAGATAACCTAATCAATATCTTGATACAACTTTACATCTAATTTCAATAACGTTGAAAAATTTGCAACTGTTTGAAACTGAATCCGGAACTGGACTGGGGAGGAGGACGAAATATAGAGAAGGATTGAGTTGGCGGAAGTCACGCGGGTTTGCGACTTTGTTTATCCCATCAACGTATTTGCTGCCTTTTAGAAACTAGCAAATGGGTATACATTTCTTTTACATTTTTAATAATGTGCCTGTGCCTTCGATGACCCACGACTAGGATTAGACTTGGTGGTAGTGTGTGAAACATTAAAAACAGGGCGTAACCAGGTGGAAGAGACTGAGAGCGTCTCAAACCGATAACTTTTCGATCAGCGGCTTTCGGGAGGAAAAAGAAACAAATTTAGTGCTGTGAATTGACTTTTTGGGTAGTAGGGCTTTCTTATGTCATGTACAAATAAAGACCTTGGCGAGTATAAATAACCTGCCACTGTCCCTTTGAGGACAAGAAAAAGGAAACCCCTGTTATGACGAGGCATGATAGTAGACCATACAAAAATATAGTTATATCTAAAGGTATCGTTCAATAATCGCGAATTACGTAAGAAGAGGAACAAAAATTAAATTTTATTAGAAAACAAAAATGGACTCAGATATTTTGAAACTCATGGCACTTTAGAATTAAAATAGATATGAAAATGTCAGGAATCTACTCAAAAGTGATGACGATTGTCTTTTGACAATGGCGTGGTGTGCATGAGTTCAGGGGTTAAAATATCGACAAAAGAGCGTGGTTAGGTAGTTACGGGGAACACATTGAAACACATCAAGTAAGGACACGTACAGGGTTACATCGGTTTTCCACGTTCAAAAGCAGAACACAATCAGTAAAATGAAATTTAAACAAATGTTAACTGATCTGGTGTATACGCAGAAAGCTCCAAAAGCATAGAAGCGATTACAGAAAAACATATTCACGACAAATTAAGAAAAAAAAAAGAGTCATGAGGTTGACATTTAAATACCTACACACTACGAGACTGAGTACCCCATTTCAGTGAAAGAAAAAGTACAAAACGCGCAAAGAAAATGGTGAAAAGAAAAGAATTACCACAAAGAGAGCTGCAGCAAAACAGTATATATTAACAGATGCTAATCATTCACGAGGAAGCTCTTTACTGTTTGAGGCGACAACTAGAATGATAAGGACACCAACAGATAGGGTTAATTATTTTTAAGAGACACACATGTGGCGTACACCACATATCTGGTTTTACCGCGAAGCTGTATATTACCCATTGGTCGTATTTTTTTCGATGCGGCGTCCTCACGGGAAGAAAAAGAATCAACGATTCAAGCGAAACCTGCATGCATCACACGCACCTCCTACGGCAAAAGGGCTGTAATCTCGTCAAACACAAAGTTAAGGCCGAAGTTAGCGGAGCGCACCGATTGTAGCGTCGAGTTCAGAAAAGGGGGGGGGGGGGGGGGGGGTTCCGGGTGTCCTGACCTTCTCGCTTGAATTCCGCATTTGTAAATGTTTACGGCAGAAAAAAAAAGAGAGGGGGATGTTTTTCTAAATATCACAAACGCTTAAACTCTCCTCAGGAAATAACTGTGTAGCAGTCAAGCTGGCGGTTCTACCGAAACAATAATAAAGATGCGTGTCGGCGCGTGCTGACAGTATTAGACACCACGCGCTTCAATATTCGGCTATCGAGCGGCCGGCAGCTGCATCGAGCGATTTCAACTACAGTTTGCTCTACTTTGTAAATATTGTACATAAAAATATCTTGGGTGCCATATGACCTGTTCAAACATAATTGGGGATCAAGATGTAATTTTGGTTTGATGACGGAATGGAATGAACCAGCGGGTTGTGATGCGCGCCTATGAAGAAGGCACGGCCTTCGATGAAGTGTCAGAAGTGTTTGACGGCCAAGTACGCTGTAAGCAACTTTCATCTGAAGGCACTGTCCTTCCTCTTTGCGTCTTGCGGTTTACGTAAAAAAATAATATATATATATATATATATATATATATATATATATATATATCTAGGAGACCATATATTACCGATCTTCTACTTACGTTGCTGCATTTAGGGACGGGTGTACGAGAAGTGTGGCATCAGCGATTCTTTTCCTAACGCCCTTGAATTCTATGGACACTTTTGGGGACACTGGGGACATTGATTTTTCACCTTTCGAGGTGCAAAGTGTATTGTATTGCGCTATACAAGATAGCCATGTGACGAAGCGATGAAGTGCTCGCGATACCAACGCGAGCGCCCGGGACATCGTTCGGAGCTTTTGGGCTGAATGGACACACGCTGGACACTGTGGGAGATAACATCGAACTGGTAATGATATCGGAATAATAAGCATCGATACATGGTGTCAGAAGTGGCCGGACCATCCCACGACACGTCGCAACAAGTAAGCGCTTAAGATGCAACACCCTGGAGAGATGGAACTACTCAAACCCCCGACCCACTTCGTACGACAGGCGACGAGGCCAGAACTGGAAGTTGTTCAAGCAAAAGCTGGAGCTATACTTCACCGTAACGGAGCCACACGGCAAGCCGTTAAGGGACGATGCGAAGACTGCGCTACTGTTAAGCTTGGCGGGAGAAGATGCCATCGAGATCTTCAATAATTTCACGTTCGCCGAAGGGGAGAGCGCCAACAACTACAAGACCGTCGTAAACAAGTTCGACAGTTACTGGGACGCTCAAACGAACGGAATTTACGAGCGGTACATGTTCCGAAAAAGGATCCAGGCAGAAGGAGAGACCTTCGAGCAGTTCCTTCGAGACGTGAAGAAACGAGCAC